TCATCTACCGTCACGCAGTACCTCGGCCTCAACATTCAGGAAGAAGATAACGCGATCCACCTCAACGCCGCGAAATACGCCGACACCATCGCCAAACGCTTCGCACTCACACCAACTACTATCTCCACGCCATACCGCTACACGGCAGGAAATCACAAGGAAATCTCCACTCCACTCAAGCCTGCCGGGATACGCGACTACCAGAGGAAGTTGGGATGCCTTCTCTTCGCGGCTGTCACCTGCCGCCCGGACCTATCATACTCTGCAAGTCAACTCGCCACCTATCTTAAAAGGCCTGAAGCTGAACACATGGCGGAGCTCGACCGCGCTCTTCACTACCTCGTCAGCACTCCAACGATCGGCTTGAGCTACCACAAGAACGGAACTACAACGCCTAAGTTAATCGGCTATGTCGATGCCGACCACGCCGGAGATTCTGACAACCGGCGCTCGCGCACAGGCTACATCTACCGCCTAGAGCCTATCGGACCTATCTCGTGGCAGTCGAGTAAGCAGGAATTAATCGCTCTCTCCTCAGCTGAAGCAGAATATATCGCACTCTGCTCAGCCACCAAGGAAGGATTGTACCTTCGCGAACTCCTGGAGGAAGCGAAGCTGGCTCAGTTACCCAGCTTCACTCTGTTCTGCGACAACCAGTCGGCAATTCGTATAGCCAACAAAAACGGATTCGCGAACAGGACGAAGCATATCGCCCTGCGATATTTCTTCGTAAAAGACGAGATCGAGAAGGGGAGACTCGAATTATCTTACTGCCCCACGACCGAGATGGCAGCTGATTACTTGACCAAGAAGCTCGGAAAGCAGAAGTTCGAGTACTGCATGTTGCTGACTGGACAGAGCCACGTCACCAACAGCGACACTCCAGAAGCGAAGGGGAGTGTTGGAAACAAGTAACTTAAGCGCCTCTGGCGTGTCGAAACACAAAGTCAGAAGCGAAGCGAAACATATCGAAGCATCAGCGAGTCAACCCTCGGAGGTTGAGCAACTGCTGGAGGTTACGCGAAAGTCAAAGGTCAGCGACCTTTGACCTGACAAGTACAGCGCGACAGCAAGGACAAACAACTGACTCGCTATTGAGCAGTTGCCCGAGTCGTCACTGTATCGAACCGCAACAGCAACAGCAAAACAGTTATTAGTTATAACCCTTCATATTCCCTTGTACTCTTATAAAAAGGCTTGTATCTCTTTGTTTTAATCAATCTACTTTGCCCTCACATACCAGCGCAAGGTGGTTCACAAACTCCTTATTGAACGCTTCCGCTATTACATTGTCCTACTCAGAATTTAGTCCTGCAAAGATCCTAAGGGCTTTTCTCAGCCCAACATGAAGCAACGGTCTCACAATCTTCCATTCCAGCCTCGTTTACCTAAGTCCCAAGTGCAAATGTTGTCCGTCATCCAAGGACGAATGTCCATGAGAGGCTCCATTTTCGCAACATCTGCCTTTTTTTTCCTCTGCAGATTTGGCGTAGCTAGCAAGGCTGACGGAAAAGGCATAACGACGGTGGTGTATAAGGGGAAGAACCAGATCGTGTGCGTATTCAAGCAGCTGGCTGTGCAGCATCAACCACCCATGAGGATAATTAGTAAGATGTAACCTCAGAGTACCGTATTTCAGTTTCTTAACGTCCGCCTTGATTTTGTGCTTTGTTGTCTCACTCCTTTGTTCTCACTCTACCTTCGTATGCAGTGGCTCCACAAATGTAGATAGGAGATTGCAAGTCTGCACCAACCAAGTGCTGAAACTCTCCCCCCTCTCTCCCCAACGTTTTCAAGTACCTCTTCCCCTCTGCACTCTCTATCTACTTCCCCAGCCTTCCTAAAGCCAGTCCATACTTAGACAAGGAACATCTGTGAAGTTCAAAAGGGGCACTAGGCATACAACTGATGCCATTTACGGCACCTAATGCAGCGTTTAACCTCGAGAATCATGGCACAGTATACTCCAATAATCAACATGAAACCCAGATTTGAGGTAACAAAATGACCCCATTTTGGCTACTCATAAATCCACGTTGGCGAGCACAACAAACCTCTTCAAACTCCCTGCCACTGTCATGCTAAACTTTCACGGTTTCTACGTTATTCTGACATATACAAGGATCTGCATGTTCCAAAAAATCGCTCAGGACAATCGCAGTCCTAAGCGACCATAGCACGCACTCACGCGCCTTATTACCAGATCAAGATAACCACAGAAGTAACTTCAAGCTTTCACGCACTCCTGCGGCTTTCCCTGCACCGGTTTGTACCCACTCGCACACCTGCACTTGAACAGCCCCTTCCCTGCTGGAACACACACACCATGTCCCGAGCACGGCCCATTCGTCACACTCGTCCCGCAAAACCTACTGCACGCCGCCGCGCTGCGCTGCTGTTTCATTTTACACGAGGCGCTCTCTCCGAGGCAGTTCAGAGCTGCTAGATACTCATCGTCGCCTGAATCAGGATCCGCTTGCCCCTCCTCCGGGCAGACCTTCCGATTCGACATGATAAACTCCGGGCTAGCCCAGAAATAATTTCCGCGCACGTCAACCGGCGGCTCCTCCTCTCCTCCCATGAACCCTAGATTCGGCATGCGCCCAGAGAAGAGGTTGAAGGAGATGTTGAAACTTGCCACGTGGACCTTCTGAAACGCGTCAGCGGGAATCGCGCCGATGAACGCGTTGCGCTGCAGGTCGAGGTGCTCCATAAGAGGGGCGGTTTTCAGATTTGCCCAGGGAAACTCCCCTCCTAGCCTGTTAAACGAAAGGTCCAAGGTATGCAAGTTCGGCATATTCTTTAGTAGAACCCATGGGACGGTTCCCTTAAGCCTATTTCCAGCCAATCGCAGGGCCGCCAGCTTTTTCATCTGCCCGAACTGGGACGGGACCGTGCCCGTGAGAAGGTTCCAACTGAGGTTTATATCTGTCAGATTCGGGTGGGTAGCAAGCGCGGCGATAGACGAACCGGTGAAGCGATTGTTACCCAAATCCACCTCTTCGAGGCTCTTTATAGCGAGTATAACGGACACGGGGAGTTCACCGGAGAGCTTGTTGTTTCCGAGAAGCAGCCGCTTCAGACCCTTGATTTTCGTTAAGGTCGGCGGAATCGATCCAGTCAACCGATTTCCGCCGAAGTCAGCCACGCTGAGAGCTGCCATGCTGGCCAGTTCAGTGGGAATTTCGCCTTGGAGACGGTTCCATTGCAGATCGAAGTACTCGAGGCGGCTCAGCCGCGCAAGCCCCCGCGGAATGCTCCCCGTCAGACCCGTTCCGCGGAGGCCGAGGTACGTGAGCCGCGCGAGTTTCCCGAGAAAATCCGGGAGACCGCCGGAAAGCCTTCCATGGATATTGTCACGAATGCCGAAAGATTCGAGCTTCTTCAGTTTCGGGAGGCTTTTCGGTAAACTTCCGCCGATGCGCCAGTTATTGGAAACGTCCAGCAGCGTCAGCTCCGTCAGGTTTCCAACGGATTCCGTCAACGAGCCCGTGCAGGAGAGGTCGCTGATGGAAACCTGAGTTACCATCCCGCCGTCATTGCACAAGATGCCGGACCACTTCGAACAGTCAGTGCCGGCGACCCATGTCTTGGTTACCGCGCAATTCCGCCACGCGGTTTTCAGGGAGAGTAGAGCTTTCTCTTGCGAGGGGAGCAGGGGGACAGCGCTGGAGGGGGGAATCGCGGTGGAGGCTACGAATGAAACGAGGACGACGAGCGAGAGGAGCGACATTTTTGCAGCTTACGGAGAATGAACGGAATTATAGAATTGAGGGAAAATAATCAGAGTCGCTGGCAAAAAACTTGTCTCAGACACTGCAAAAGGCTTGCTACGTATCGTTGCTGGAAAACCGTGTCAGGAGAACAGGCTTTCAATCGTTGCTGAGGAACGAGCACGCCCAGCTTGCTTTATCATGCACTCGAGAAACGGCCTGATGCTTCCGGAGCTGGCAATAGTGAGCAGCAGAGAAGGTAAGACCTGCGGGTCGGATGTGCTGTCTAGTTTGCGATTGCGTCTCAAAACGTGAAACTGCCACACCACAAAGCGGCTCCGCGAGAAATGGCATTCTCCTCCCCAGTCGCTCGGGGGACCAAAAGCCCCTTTGCTGCGTTGTTCAGGCTTGAACGACTATCTAATATCAACCGAATTCTCAAGCGTCACTCACTACTGCCAAGAAAGTTTCCCACATACTGCAGTGGCGGCTTGTGTCAATGAGGTTTTGCTTGCAGAAGCTTGTTTTTGTGCCTAGCAATCGCAATTTCACTGCAAGCGCCAATTGTGACATTGCGAATCGCGAGTAAAACTTGCTGAGGTGGCGAAGGTGTTGACATGGGGAGCGGAAACCGTGGCCAGGGAGTGTCGGCCGCCACGTCCATTCTATTCACCCTTTCCGAGCGGGTGAGTCACCTCACCACCCCTCAACACCACCGGTGTAAAGCGGCGGCGCGGCTGGCCCAGCTGACGTCAAATGTTATATGCCGAACCGCTAGCGCCTCGAGAGTCAGCACGTCAGCAACATACGAGTTGCAATACTTGAAATCAACCTGCTACTGGTTACATGTTTTGGGTATGAGCAATCTTCTCGTATCTAGAAACTGTTTCTCAACCAACTTTTGCGCAGACGCCCATATTGCGCTCTGAACATTGAAGGAGCGGACCAAAAAATCTGCTTGTACTGCAGGACATTGTGCAATCACTGTACCGGCGCCAAGCAGTGTGACTTCTTGTAGATTGCAACTCCTCACATTGATGCCTGGATAAAAATAACCTTAGTAGTACTTGGGTGCAACTTGAACCCTGCAGTGAAGTATGGGCCACAAGGGTTTGGCACCCTGATACCATCTAGCCTGCTTATAGAACTGCATAGAAAGAATCGGTAAGGTAAGATCATGCAGCCACAGCAAGCAACAGTCTAAACCACAACCCCATCACCAGCAAAATCGTCAGCAGCAGCAGCAGCAGTTGCTGCTGCAGGGCCTCTCACTCGTCAGGAGCCTCAATGGTAACCACATTACTGCCCTTGCCTGGACTGGTAACCACTGACCCTGATCCGCCTCCGCCACCTCCACTACCAACAGGCATAACAGCAGTGGAGGATGCGAGGATGGTTGACGAGGATGAGGAGGAGAGCAAGTGAGGGACGTCAGTTATGAAGAGAGCAACCATCGCCACCATTATACCCTGATAGAGGGGGAGGGGGAGAGGGGTGATTGTGGTGGGAGGAGGGAAGTAAGAAAGGGCGTGGGAATGGGAGGGCGTGGGAATGGGCAGGGGGCATGAGAAATTGAGGGACGTCAGTAAGAAAGAGAGAGCTTGGCCAACATTTCGCCCTGAAGAAGTGGGAGTCGAATCGGAGATTATGGAGGGTAGAGGGGTGGGAAAGAGAAAGTGTGTTGAGATGATTCTGTGGAGGTGAGAAAGTGAGGGATGACTATTATGTGGAGAGAGCATTACCTTGCGGCCTTGAAGAAGGGGTAGAGGAAGGGGTAGAGACGATGAGGAGGAGGAGGAGGAGGAGGAGGAGGAGGAGGAGGAGGAGGAGGAGGAGGAGGAGGAGGAGGAGGAGGAGGAGGAGGAGGAGAAGGAGGAGGAGGAGGAGGAGGAGGAGGAGGAGGAGGAGGAGGAGGAGGAGGAGGAGGAGGAGGAGGAGGAGGAGGAGGAGGAGGAGGAGGCAACCTTTCTCCACGGCTCATTCGCCGTTCCCCAACTTCATTCCCCTGCGTTGCATCCACACTCTACCTACCCTTGTCCACATTCACATTCACATTCACATTCACATTCACATCCACATTTCAGAGCAGTGCAAAGTGGTACATATTTGTGCTTGAAAATAGCATAAATCAGCATCTGCTTACCATGCCTGTGAGAATTTGAGGCACTTTCCAGAGCGGTGCAAAGGGGTCCAGAGGGAATAGGAGGAGGATTGTAATGATCTGCAGGGGGGAAGGAGCAGAAAGGGAGGATGGGAGCAAAGAGGAGATATGGGGACAGAGATGGAGGGGAAGGAGGTAGAATAGGAGGGAAGGGAGCAGAGAGAGCAGGATAAAGCCTGGGGAGAATCCGGATGAAAAGGAATTAACATTGTGATGGCTTGCACGCAGAGTGGGTGGGCGGCGAGGATGGATGGAGAGGGAGGGACGGAGAGGGAGGGACGGAAGGGGCATGTGAAGCAAGGGAGATGGGCAGCTGTGGTTGAATCACAGGAGAGAAGAAGGTGGGCGCACAGCAGTGGTGGGCGCACAGCAGTGGTGGGCGCACAGCAGTGGTGGGCGCACAGCAGTGGTGGCGGTGGCGGTGGCGGTGGCGGTGGTGGCGGCGGCGGCGGCGGCGGCGGTGGCGGTGGTGGTGGTGGTAATCAACTCACCCGCAAGGCAAGAGGGGAAACTAGCAAGCTAATCACCCCACAGTTGATGCTTATAACAGCGGTCGGTGCCACGTAAACTCATGCGGAACTAAGTGAGGTTCACATGGCGGGGCGGGGCTCACCCGCACGACGAGAGAGGAGACCAGCTGGCCAGATACCCTCAGCAGCAACAATCAGCTTCAGAGGCTCATTCAAGAGAGAGGTGGCAGACAATGGGGAGGAAAGAGGAGCCGAGGGCGAGAAGCAGAGGGGCGGGGGCTCACCCGCAAGACGAGAGAGGAGACGAGCCCGCCTGAGACTCTCAGCAGCAGCGCCGTGAGAAAGGCTGCCAGCGCTGATGGCTGCAGTGGGAGGGAGCGGAGAGGAAGGGAGGGAGGAGGAGGAGTGAGAAAGCGGAGGTGTATGTCTGACAGACTGGGACTCTCAGCAGCAACGCTGTTAGAAAAGCTGCCAGCGTTGATGGCTGCAGTTGGAGGGGGGGGGTGGAGGAAAGGAATGAGGGAGGGGAAGGCGGAGGAGAGGAACGAGGGAGTGGAGGGCGGATGAAAGGGAGAGAGGGAGGGGGGTGGAAGGGGCATCAGCAACGGGTGTATTTATTAATAGGGTGATATGAGGGAAAGGGGACGAGGGTGGGTCATGCTGTGGCCATAGATAGGGATTGAAACACTGAAGGGATGGAGGGATGGAGGGATGGAGGGATGGAAGGATGGAGGGATGGAGGGATGGAGGGATGGAAGGATGGAGGGATGGAGGGATGGAGGGATGAAGAGAGGGTGAAGGAACCGAGGGAAGGTGAAGGGATGTGTGTGGTATGTGTCATGTGTGTGGTATGTGTCATGTGTGTGGTATCTGTGGTGTATGTGGCATGTGCGGTATGTGCGGTATGCGTTTCACATCACCATGTGCTGGTCACACATACGTACCACAGAGGCGAGCACGAGGTAGAGCAGGCACTGCGGGCAGTCAAACACGAAGCCAAAGGCGCGGTCGAAGTGGTCACTGAAGGCGAACGCTGGCATGGGGGGGGGGGTGGTGCAAGGAGGGGTTTGGGGGGTGCAAGCAGGGGGTGATGGTTGGGGCATGTGGGGGATGGTGCATGCAGGGGGTCATGGTTGGGGCCATGCAGAAAGCATTTTGAGAGAAAACCAATTAGGGTTGGAAAAACGTTCGGGTGGAAGGGTTGGAAGAAGGATGGGTGCAGATAAATTGACGAGAATGCTGACCAAACACAAGGGTAATGTACGCAGTGAGGAAGCAGGAAGACTTACCCCAGAAGTCAACAAACAAGGCGGAGGTGGACACATAGAGCACCAGCGAGGTAACCGGCAGGTCGTACTGCAGGTACACTCTCTCTTGCAGTGCGACTGCTAGCCCGTCAGAGCTGCAGAGCGGGCAGAGAGGGGAATGACAGGGAGACATGGGGACGGCAGGGGACAGGGAATGCACAAGGTGTCACCAGAAGGGCTTGGATGGGATGGCGCAGTGCAGAGAGAAGAGCATTGAGGAAACAAACCAGGAGAGAGGACTGAGCTGACTTTTGAGTCGACTCAACATTCACAAAGCGATGGACATGGGCACGGGTAGCCCTTACCAGAAGAGGAGAAACGCAAAGATGGGCACGGCGAGGGGCCCGATCCACCACCAGTAGCGCACCCCCATGCTGGCAGATTGTCATGTTTGTGGTTGAGGGGCATCAACACCAATAGTGACAGCACGTACCAGAAAAGGAGAAACGCAAAGATGGGCACGGCGAGGGGCCCGATCCACCACCAGTAGCGCACCCCCATGCTGGCAGATTGTCATGTTTGTGGTTGAGGGGCATCAACACCAATAGTGACAGCACGTACCAGAAAAGGAGAAACGCAAAGATGGGCACGGCGAGGGGCCCGATCCACCACCAGTAGCGCACCCCCATGCTGGCCGGCGGCCAGAGGTAAAGTGGCGTGGCGGAGGGCAGCAGCACCCGCGCTGCCTCTGAGGCCGGGGGGAACCAGAGCTGGTGGGGCAGGGGAGGGAGGAGGTCGACAGGTAGAGTGTAAAACGGGATGTGATGCTCCCAGTGACAGCTGCAGCACCTAGACTGCCTCTGTACTTTTGAGACGCCTCAAAACAGCCAGCGACAGCAGCAGCACCAGTACCCCCTCTGTTTCCAGGGGTAACCACAGCCAGTCTGTTGGGTCGGGAGCTGGGGGCACGAGGACGGGTGGACAGTGAAAGAATATACACGAGCATAAAGGTTGACTGGAGCTACGTTTGAGGCTAGGGGAAAGCCATAGCCAGTGGAGGAGGGTAAGGGCAGACTGAGGTACTGTGAGACAGGGGGTGACAGGGGCTTAACCATGGCCGTGATTCACCCCAAGGCACGAGGGTAATGATGGCAATCACGAGGGCACCATTAGCTTAGAAAGGACACCCCCGGCTTCACTGCCTCGCTCCCTCACTCACTCCCTCACTCACTCCCTCACTCACTTCCTCACTCCACAGCAGCTGTAAGCAAGCAAGCAGGCGAGCAGGCAGTCAGTGCATTCGCTGCCATGCCACCGCTGCCACTGATGGCACTCCCTCACACACCCTCCCCCACTCACTCCCTCACTCACACCTGCACTCACTCCCTCACTCACACCTGCACTCACTTCCTCACTCACACCCGCACTCACTCCCTCACTCACACCCGCACTCACTCCCTCGCTCACACCCGCACTCACACCCGCACTCACTCCCTCACTCACACCCACACTCACTCCCTCACTCACACCCGCACTCACTCCCTCACTCACACCTGCACTCACTCCCTCACTCACACCCACACTCACTCCCTCACTCACACCCGCACTCACTCCGTCACTCACTCCCTCACTCACACCCGCACTCACACCCGCACTCACTCCCTCACACCCACCCAGCAGCTGTAGGCGACCAGGCAGGCAAGCAGGCACCCCAACAGGCGCAGCGAGTGCACTCGCCGCCATGCCACTGCTGCCACGGGGGAGGAGCCGCTGCAGGAGCCCACCAGTATGGGCGCTCCGTTGAGTATCGATTGCCAGAGCTGGGAAATAACGTTTTGCAACAGGGATGAGAGTTCGAAACAGGGCAGGTAGGGGCTGAGTTAGGAAGTGCACTCGCCGCCACGCCACTGCTGCCACGGGGGAGGAGCTGCTGCAGGAACCCACCAGCATAGGCGCCCCACTCAGTATCAACTGCCAGAGGTGAAGAGAAACAGAAGGTAACATTCGTTTAGGGGCAAGGCAATGCAAGGCAGGGACGGGCTGGGTGATTAGAGAGTGCACTGCCACGGAAGAGGAGCCGCTGCAGGAGCCACCAGCATGGGCGCCCCACTCAGTATCAACTGCCAGAGCTGTGAAAGAAAATGAGATAAATGGCAGGATTGACGTGCCTCGTGGCTGATGTGCACCCTAGGCAAGCGAAGCGAGAGAGTGCAGAGGGCGTAGAGCATGCAGGCGTAGAGCATGCAGGCGTAGAGCATGCAGGCGTAGAGCATGCAGGCGTAGAGCATGCAGGCGTAGAGCATGCAGGGTTTGAGACGTGCAGAGGGCGTAGAGCATGCAGGGTTTGAGACGTGCAGAGGGTGTAGAGCATGCAGGGTTTGAGACGTGCAGAGGGCGTAGAGCATGCAGGGTTTGAGACGTGCAGAGGGCGTAGAGCATGCAGGGTTTGAGACGTGCAGAGGGCGTAGAGCATGCAGGGTTTGAGACGTGCAGAGGGCGTAGAGCATGCAGGGTTTGAGACGTGCAGAGGGCGTAGAGCATGCAGGGTTTGAGACGTGCAGAGGGCGTAGAGCATGCAGGGTTTGAGACGTGCAGAGGGCGTAGAGCATGCAGGGTTTGAGACGTGCAGAGGGCGTAGAGCATGCAGGGTTTGAGACGTGCAGAGGGCGTAGAGCATGCAGGGTTTGAGACGTGCAGAGGGCGTAGAGCATGCAGGGTTTGAGACGTGCAGAGGGCGTAGAGCATGCAGGGTTTGAGACGTGCAGAGGGCGTAGAGCATGCAGGGTTTGAGACGTGCAGAGGGCGTAGAGCATGCAGGGTTTGAGACGTGCAGAGGGCGTAGAGCATGCAGGGTTTGAGACGTGCAGAGGGCGTAGAGCATGCAGGGTTTGAGACGTGCAGAGGGCGTAGAGCATGCAGGGTTTGAGACGTGCAGAGGGCGTAGAGCATGCAGGGTTTGAGACGTGCAGAGGGCGTAGAGCATGCAGGGTTTGAGACGTGCAGAGGGCGTAGAGCATGCAGGGTTTGAGACGTGCAGAGGGCGTAGAGCATGCAGGGTTTGAGACGTGTCAAAGCAAAGACAGATGGGCTTGCATGCGAGGAAAAGGAAGGGGCTTACGAGCAGCGAGAGAGTGCACAGGGCGTAGACCACGCAAGTGGCTCCGATGCCAACGCGCCCGTTGAGCTGCCATGGGGATGATCAGCAGGGAATTGGGGGAAGAAGGAAAGGGGGGGGCTGAAAAGCATGAATGGGTTGTTTGACACGAGTAGACCAGATGCAGGTGGCTCCGACGCCAATGCGCCCGCAGAGCTGCCAAGGGGAGGTCAGCATGCACAGGGGTAAAGGGCGTGGGGAAGGGAACCAACATGCGTGAGCGAATTGACACCTCACATGCATGACAAGGCCATGCGGACCATGCAGGTGGTTCCTTGATTGCCCATACGCCCATTGAGCTGCCATGAGGGGATCACATCACATCACATCACATCACATCACATCACATCACACTGCACTCATGTACTCAAGTGCATCTGGGCTTTTCACTGAGAATTCTCAGAACCTGCGAATGCAATGGGGTGGCAGGTTGGCGATCAACAGGCACTGATGTGTGTCAGGTACCATCGATGCGTCAGCTTGTTGAAGTGTATCGATGGCAAAGATGATCTCCAACCATCGAATTTTTTAGTCGACTCAAAAATCATCTCATCACGCACGGGTGGTCAAAGGGTTACCTACTAACACCCGCCCATGTGCCATTTCTCAACAACACATACACTTATCGCAACTGCACTGCACCGCTTATCACTCTTAGGAGTACATTGAACCTATAACAATGTCATCTCAGCAGCACTATACCCCTCAAATGTACCTCATTAAACCGCACTGCACCCTCTCTGATGCACACTGTTGTTATGGCATTGGCAGCACGCCAGCTATGCATTCCCTCCACTGTACTGCACTTCCCTGATCCACCTCTCTCAACCGCACAATATCTCTCCAATTCACCTCTTTAACCGCACTGCACATCTCTGATCCACCATTCTCAGCCACGCTGCACCTTTCGGATTCACCTCTTCAACCTGACTGTACCTCTCTGATGCACACTGCCGTGATGGTGATGGCAGCACCAGCGCCAGCAAAGGAGTAGATGGGGACTGGCGAGAGTATGGGGCGGCCCAGGAGCTGCTTGTTGGAAGGGGGGAAGCAGGGGTGGCAAGAGGGAGGGGAAGGGTAGGATGGAGAAGACAGCGAGGGAAGACAATATGGGGCGACCCAGGAGCAGTTTGAGAAAGGGAGAATGAGGGTGTGGGATGAGAGAAGATGGGGTCGGGACTGGTAGTGAGGATAAATTAGGGGGAGGAGGAATGACAGAAGGAATAGGACGGGAGCATTGAAAAGGCTCAGAGCAAGAAAGAGGGGCGACCTAGGCACTGATGAGATGGGGGAGTTCAGGGGAAGGAACTTTTGTGCACATGCACTCACATGCACATGCAGTCACGTGCACATGCACATGCACATCACATGCACATGCACATCACATGCACATGCACATCACATGCACATGCACATCACATGCACATGCACATGCACATGCACATCACATGCACATGCACATGCACATGCCACCAAGCCTATTACTTTCACCCACCTTGGTGGCAATCAGTGCAAGCACGGCTGTGACCAAGCTCGCATACCAGCGAGCCACCTCGGATCAGAGCAGAGGGGAGAGTTACTCAAACCTCGCCTACCAGTGCCTCGGATGAGAGTTACAACTACCTCGCCTCACACCCATGCCATGCCAACACACACACACACACACACACACATACTCACTCACTCACTCACTCACTCACTCCAACTCACCAACCCACCTTGGTGGCCATGAGTGCAAGCACGGCCGTGACTCCACTGGCATACCAGCGAGCCACCTCGGAGTAGAGGGGGAAGTTGGCGGTGTCGGATCCAAAGGATGCAGTGGGGCCGATCAGCAGCTGAGGGGGAGAAGAAGGGAAGAGAAGAGGGAGTGGAGGGCAGGGAGAGGGTTGTTGAAGGTGGTTCACAGGCGAGCCACCCCTGACCGGAGTAGAGGGGAAAGTAGGCGGTGTCTGACCCAAACGATGCAGTAGGGCCGATTAGAAGCTGAATGGGAACAAAGTAAGGCAAGAGATAGTGGAGGGTAGGAAGAGGTCGGTATTAGGTGATCAAAGGCGAGGCATCTCGGTAAAGAGAGGGACGTTGGTGGCATCAGATCCGAAGGATGCAGTGGGGGGTGATCAGAAGCTGAGGTGGAGAGGGAAGGAGAGGGAGAAAGGGAAGATCGGAAAAGAAAGTAGGGATTGGAAGGAGGGGAGGAGGGAGAGAGGAGGTGAGAGAGAGAGACGAGGGGAGGTGGCAGGGAGGTAGGGTCGAAACAAGCGACAAGGGGGGAGTTGGGGGCGTACGGGAAGGGGATGGACCAGTAAGAAGCTGAGGGGGAGAAAAAAACGGAGGAGGGCTGAGAAGTGTGGAAATGAGACGTGTCAACATCACCAAGACTGCAGCATACAATAGCACGCGCATTTGCACTCATTGGCACAGGTAGTAACACATTCAATGTAGGATACTATCACATTCTCACCTCCCTCTCATCCCTCCAGACCCTCGGCCTTCAACCGCTCTGTATAATCACGTTAGAGTCACATACCGTCTGTAGCCACACGGCAAGGGCCTTGGAAAACATGATAGCGATAGCCAAGCCTGCGACCAGCCAGCGAATTCCGCCACTGCTCGCCCACACCAGCAGCGACTCCCATCGTCGGGTTACCAGCACGGCGAAACCGCACCCATTGCTCGTCTTCCACCGATCGCTATCCGAAAATGTTAGTGGTAACCCGCTTTTCCCGCCATCGGGTCCACCTTGGGAATGCCGGCCTCTACCTATCCCGAACACGGCTGCTGTCGCACCGCGACCCCATGCGACCATGGCTGCGACAATTCCGAAACGTTTTCTTTCCTTGGCGAAGCTCGCAAACCAAGCCTTCTGGTTACACAAATTCGCGATAAATGCAGTCGGCGTGGTGGATTTATCGAGGTTATCGCGGCTTCCCACCCGACGAATCACTCCAAAAGACCCGGCCTTGGAAGACTTGTCGTAACTGGGAGTTGGATTCGAGTGTTGAATATGACCTTGTAACGAACGTGATTGTATTGAATGGCCGGCGTGTGTGGTCGAAGAACGAGCACTGCCTGATCCGTTCTCGCCGATTACTCTAACGAAAGGCGAATCGACTAGAGGTTCCCAGCCGTTAGACCTACCGGCGACGTCCTTCGGGCCGTCATGAAAACCCATGCGGCCATTCCTAAGCTGGCACAAGTCTGGTCGTTCTAGCGAGGACTTGATTGCATGACGACTGAAGCACCAAATGCTCGCATGGAACAAATGTTGGACAGTGACAACCTAACGGCGTGTCTCCTGCACACACTGTTGGTGAATCGAAAACAGAGGCTAAGCGCTTTCGCTTTTTTGGAACAAAATCGTAGCGGCTACGCTTTTGTAGCGAACCTGGAGGAGCGAACTAGCTTCTGGAGGAGCACACGGCTAGACTCCGCTCAGGAAACACAGTCCGAGTCCAGTCTCCGAGGAGGGCTGTAACTGTAAGACGAGGAAGAGATTCTTGGGGATGGTTTTGTGTGATAGCAGCGGATGTGCTTGATCGGTGTTTCGGTGTTGTTCTGACGTCCTCTGACACATTCGAACGCGCGAAAGTTTCACGTCTCGCGCGTTCCCTACAGTTGTAACAGAAATAGTGGAGGGTTCGCAAACAGAGTTGTTACAAAACCATGTTTCAGGTTACGCCAGAAATCACGTCGCTTGATTGTGAAGGAGGACCCCCACGAAATCCCACATCGCGACGTTCCTTTTCGTCAATTCGCCAGAACGAACCACGTCAACGCTCTCCCACCAACCCCTCGCCTGACCCCAACGCGGACGAAGTGTATTACTTGAAACACGAACGCCAATCGCAACGATCAGGATGCTACCAGCTACCACCGCAGTATACCGGACTCTACATCCGTCTGATTGGGTCCTTCCCGTCCGTCTCCATGTCGGGAAAATCGGTCCTCCTTTTCCTTGGGTCTCCCATTCCCTTCACTCCTCTAGCTCCGGTTTCTTGCTCTCCAGTTGGGCCTCCGGTTTTGCCGCTTCTTCATCGAGCCTAGTTTCCTCGAATTTCGCGTTCTCTTGAGCAGGAACGGCCGTCAGTAGATTTACTCAGCGGAGCATTGAATACGTGTTCTATTCTTTCATGTGTCCAGCATATTGCGTTTAGGCTGATCGGTTTTGAGTGTTTCCCCTCACCTCGAGTTTTGCAATAATATTACTGCTTCGCAATCTCCCTCGCGTTTCGCCTCTAACCTCGCCGCCATGTTCGTAACCGTTCGCAATGGCCCTGACGACGCTCCACAGCCGATGGCAGTTCCACTCTCTCACTTCTCTGCACCACCAGGCATGGCAGTCGCACAACACGGCCCCGCACGTCGCGTCGTTGTCGCACAGCCTCCCTTCGCCACGCAAGCCGCGTATGCAAACCCTAACGACACGACGAAAACTCTTGACGAACGGTTTCGCGCTCTATCCGCCCAGCGCAGTCAAAGCGTCCGTCGCGCGGAGGCAAAAGCGCGCCAAGCCGAAGCACGGCAATCGGCTCTAGCTGCGCAGCGGAAAGTATCTTCTGCCGCCGCTCCTTCCGCTTCCCCGTCCGCTTCCGCGCGTGCAGGCGGAAAGCAAACAGGGGGAGGCGGGAGCACCCGCCCCAGCAGCACTGCAGCGAACGGATCTAAATCGAGGAGCAAACCCGCAGCTGCCACGTCATCGGCGAAAAAGCCCGCCGCGGCCGCAGCGGTACCAGCAACCCCGCCCATACAGTCGCGTCTCACCTTTCCCGGCGGGGCTGGCGCCGTGAAGGGGAAGGCAGGAGCTGCGGGGGGTGCAACTGGTGCAGGCTCGGTTCACTCTCGCTTGACGTTTCCTGGTAACCAGGGGGTTCAGGTCCCGCCGAACCTGCGCTTTGCCGTGGGGTCCGGGGGCGCAGTTGCGGGGAGGGGGAGGGGTGCGCGCGGGCGGGGAGCAGCGGGAGTTGGCAGGGGGGGAATTGTTGCGGGAAGGCGTGGGGGTGCGGTTGTTGCGGCGGCGGGTGTGAGGACGCGCGCTACTGCTGCGAGGACTGCGTTTGGGGCGACCATGTTCGGATTGGGACCTAGAGGTGCGGGGAGGCCTGGTACAGTAACCAGAGCGCAGACGGCTGCAAGAGTGGGGGCGAGGGGAGGCGGAAGAGGGGCGGGGCGAGGGAGGGGAGGTAGGGGGGGACGTGGTGAAGGGAAGGTGTCGGAAGTGGATTTGGATAAGGACTTGGATCAGTACATGCAGCAGGGGTACGAGCAGTGAAAGGGGCTTTAACTTCGGATAAAGATGTGGGTCAGTACATTTGCCAGGAATACGAGCAGTAGAAGGGTGCTGGGCAGTGATGGGGGCGTTTCAGATAGTTGGTGAAGCCATGCACTTGGGATCAGATGGATGTGGGTGGACTGACCAGCGAGTGGTGTGTGCTGGATTCTGTAGTTCCTGGCGGAAGCTTTATCTTCACCTGAGCCCCATTCGCATCTGTTTGGCAGACTAGTCTATTTGATGATGCGTTGTGGCTTGGTAGAGAGAATTGTGTGAGTGATGGGGCCGTTAATCCCCATAACGGATATAGATGATGATTTAGACATGGATTTGTTTACCGCTGTAATAGTGTTTCGCGTTGTAATAACGATCACGAAACTCCCCTTTCAGTCTACACCCCAACGGTTCACTCCATGTGGGCTCCGCGCCTTGCCTCCGTGGATCCAAGAATTTTCGAGTCATGAGTGGCCACGTGTTTGCGTTTCACCAACATCTCTGCACTTTCGACCTGACCAGTAACCAAATTCGCATCTAGCATTTTGCGTCAACCTGTAGTAAAAGCAGCCAGGGTTTCGCGCTTACATAAGCGAATGTGCTGGATAAGCGTCGGTGTGAGCTGTGCATGTGCTGAGCTGTGCGGCCAACAAGACATGAACAGCAGCAGGTACCGTTGGGTGTGCCAAATGAGCTAACTGTTTTGCTTGGTTAAGAACTTTAATCTACGGTTTGTTATTCCGTGAAAACGGTCGGGAAAGGTTTCAAGGAAAGATAGTGACAGACATCTCCCCATTTCTGTCAGAAATCGGATTCGAGGTTCCAACACAGCAGGCGAGCACGAACCTCCAGTTTCTTTCTCCGGCATTGTCTTTTCTTGCTCATTCTTAGCTTCTTCGACCTTCAATTACATGCCCATCGACGAGCTAACCTCTGCTTGATTTCTTGCAAGTTTTCTGCTTAATTTTGCTTTTGTTTCTTAGCTTGTCCTTTGACGCCATCGACGTGGAAAAACTGTCTCAGCCTAGTACCGAATCTGACGTTCATAATTAGCCACCTAATTGGAAAGGCCTTGTAGCTCGTTAACACCTTCTCTCGATCGCCTCCGGCAACACTTTCGAAATATCGTTCATCTGTTACGTATACCTAAAGCGAACGCGCAGGAGGAGCCTCCTGAGCATGTCGACCGACGCTGCTGCCGCGAAGCCGGACGAGGTGACCGTTGGGACCACGGCCGGAGACGAGAGCGCGCCGCTGAAGAAATCGCGGAAGATTCTCGTAGCGGTGGACCCGAGCGACGAGAGCTCGTACGCGTTAAAGTGGGCTCTCGAGAATGTGATACAAGCGGAGGACAAGGTTCACCTGCTACACGCGCAGCCGTACCCGAAAGTTTACGCAGGACCCGCGGGTCCAGGTAAGAAGACCTTATTTCTGCCTGGCGATACCTTTGGAAAGTGGAGGAGGGGGATTAGGAGCTGTCTCACTGGCAGCTGAAGCCGAGATTCTCTCACATGCGACGCACATGGGTCAGAATTGCACAGCAGAACGATTGCTGAGGGTTAGAATTGCAGAGAGAGGAGATTTGTTGATGTTTTTAATCAGCAAAGGGAGATGGTTCTAGAAGATTATATTTGCCAAGAGAGACGTCTCCTGCGGGTTGGAATGTTACCGTGGTGGAATGAAGCAGAACCTGTCTTCGTGGAGTGTTTTTTTTTTTTTTTTTTTTTTTTTTTTTTTGCAAGAATCTAATCCAGCCCGGTTTAGGTCCCCTTCGGGGTTCTACGTGCCAGGCTTGGTTCCTCGTGTGTTTCAAACCTGGCAGTCTCTAGAAGACGGCACGCCCGTTGTGCACGCCCGTTGTGCACGTAAGCAACTCATTACACCTCCCAGCCGTGTCGGGTTTCGCTGCAGGTTCAATTATGCGAAACAAGCCTTTTGAATCTTTCAAGGGTAACTCACCAATGCCCCCCCAGCCCGCTTTGGTTCCGCTGGTGCAGGGTTCTGCGTGCCGTCGGAGGTGGTGGAGACGATGAAGAAGCAATATTCGAGTGACTTTTGAGAATTCTCAAAAGTCAATATCGCCGGAGGTGGTTGAGATGATGAAGAAGCAGGAGGAGGCTGCGAGCCTATGGTCCATGCAGAGCAGAGCAAGCCCCATGTTGACTTTTGAGTCGACTCAAAAGTCAACTAGCAAGCCCCGTGTGTAGTTGAAGCCAACACGCCGCTTGCCTCTACTGGCTAGTCCCTTCCCTCACCAATGCCCCCCTAGCCCGGGTCGGTTCCACTGGTGCAGGGTTTTACGTGTTTCGAGAGGTGGTGGAGACAATGAAGAAGCAGGAGGAGGCTGTCAGTCTCTAGTCCATGCAAGCCAACCAACCCCCCTTGTGTGGTTGAAGGCAACTCACCAATGCCCCCTTAGCAGGAGGAGGCTGTCAGCCGCCAGGTGCTGCGCGCCGCTTGACTCGAGTAGCTACACGCCTCTTGTCTCCACTGGCTTGTCCCTCACCAATCTCCCCCCAGCCCGGTTTGGTGCTGCTGGTGCAGGGTTCTACGTGCCGCCGGAGGTGGTGGAGACGATGAAGAAGCAGGAGGAGGCCGTCAGTCGCCAGGTGCTGCGCGCTGCCAAGGCCATGTGCGAGCAGTTCAAGGTGCGAAAGGGGGAAAAGAGGGGGGGGGAAGGGGGGTGGAAGGGGGTGGAAGGGGGTGGAAGGGGGTAGAAGGGGGGGAAGAGGAGGGGAGAAGGAGGTGAAATGCAAAGAATGAAAGAAAGAGAACAGCTTATAGCAGAGGAGACTAAAGTTTTACAGTGACCAGCTGAGGCCAGGGAGAGGTGCAGCATTCATGCCCCCCAGTGAATCTCTATCCCTCCCCATCCCTCTCCACCGCATCTCACAGGTATCAGCCGAGGCGGACGTGATAGAGGGCGAGCCCAGGGAGTCCATCTGTGATGCCGTGGAGCAGCTGGGCGTGCAGCTGCTGGTGATTGGCAGCCATGGCTACGGTACCGTGAAGAGGTGAGCATCAGACTGGCAGCACTGTAAGTGATTGACAGCCATGGCTATCTTCACCTGAAATGAATGGCGAATGGCGGTCCAGACGGCGTCAAGAGTTGCGTAATGGCCATGGCTACGGCCATGGTTGCTACTGGGTCTCAGCACATGTTATGATGTACACTCGAGGCAATGATGCTGCCCAGAGGTGAGCATCTGACAGGCAACAGTATTGTTGAAAGGTGGGTGCTTTTGATGTTGCCAGCAGTTGGGCGTGCAGCTGCTGGTGATTGGCAGCCATGGCTACGGCACTGTCAAGAGGTGCGTCTTGAAGGGGGCTTCAAAACATTTGTGGCTGTTGACAACATCAATCCATGGCCACGGCACCGTCAAGAGGTACGTATTGATGGGGAATGTGTTGATGGGGTACGTGCTGATGGGGTGCGTGCTGATGGGGTCTCAAACCACTTGGTGAAACATCTCAGAACGCATTGAAGCGAAGAGATGTTTGACCATAAGGTTGCGATGTTTGTGAAATTTTCAACTCTTGTGGAAAATGGTTCAAGACGTATGTGAGTTGTCAGCAGCATGAGCAACTGCTGCTCCATGTGATGCGGCATTCATGGGCGCTCCATGTGATGCGGCATTCATGTGTGCTCCATGTGATGCGGCATTCATGTGTGCTCCATGTGATGCGGCATTCATGTGTGCTCCATGTGATGCGGCATTCATGTGTGCTCCATGTGATGCGGCATTCATGTGTGCTCCATGTGATGCGGCATTCATGTGTGCTCCATGTGATGCGGCATTCATGTGTGCTCCATGTGATGCGGCATTCATGTGTGCTCCATGTGATGCGGCATTCATGTGTGCTCCATGTGATGCGGCATTCATGTGTGCTCCATGTGATGCGGCATTCATGTGTGCTCCATGTGATGCGGCATTCATGGGCGCTCCATGCTACATGCAACTCTCATGGCAGGACTTTCCCAGCATGTGAGCGACTCTGTTATGTGTGCACCATGCCATGCCATAACCTCCATTACCCCTCCCCACCCCCTCCTCCCCCTACCAGGGCGTTCCTGGGCAGTGTGAGCGACTACTGTGTGGATCATGCTGCTTGCCCCAACCTCCCTTTCCCCTTCCCTTCCCCCCCCCTTCCTCTTCCCCCCTCCCCCCCCTACCAGGGCGTTCCTGGGCAGTGTGAGCGACTACTGTGTGCATCATGCTGCTTGCCCTGTGGTCGTGGTTCGTAAGGTGTAAATTTGTGGTTCGGAAGTTATAAAACTGTAATTTGGGAGGTGTAATTCGTGCTTTGGAGAGTAAAACACTGTGGTCTGGAGGGTAAAACACCGTGGTTCATGGTAACTGCCATTCCAGGTCCATTGGTCTGGATGATACAGCAAACATGAGTGATGTAGTGGTGGTGAGGTTCGGATGGTAGAGAGGCTGTAGTGCAGGTATGTGGGCTGCTCAAGCGGGGCAGAGCAACAAGGCTGATCTGTGGTGTAAATTTCAAGGGTTGGTAGGTGGAGTAGCAACTTGGAATGTCTAGCTTGCTGGCGTTGGAAAGATGCGTCTGCCTGTAATAAAAGTGTGTGGGTTACATGAAACTCTCATACATCAGTGCTCCCTTCAGTTCTGGGCTCAAGAGCAGGTGCAAATGAACAGTGAATATTTTAAAACTAGTCATCGTACATAAGCCCATGAATCTGCACATTCCGAGAGCAACCACCCTGAGGCTGTTAGCTCTAACGAAATGGAAAAATCGGAACCCTCGCTTGTGTGACATATTCGCAACCTAACCTGAAACTTTCAGGCACTGGAAAACGGAAAAACAAGGCACCGAACTGGGCTCAACTGGAGGGACGAGGTGGAATGCGGGAAAGGAAGAAGCTTGGGCGGGTGGACCAGGGTTTTGTTGGGAAAGCCATCCCTTTGCCATCATTACAGTCACACAGGGCCTGCTGTCTTGAGACTGAACGAGCCTCCTTTGGTTTTTGCCATCTTGTAGTGTCACGCCACCATGAGTCACACTTAGGGTTTGTCCGGCAGGTTCTTGTAGATCTTGCTGCGCGCCAGTCACACCCAAACTGAACCTTCGCTGGTTGTGGTGACGCCTGATATAGTCATATCGTCCACGTGGTGTTTCATGCACACAGGGACACTGCTCCTGATCGCGAACCAGAGTTAATCGCCTCCGTCATCTGCCTCTCCGTTGTCACGTCGTTGACAGTCACATCCGACGCTGCCGTAGAAAGATCTACCCGGCATACTGGGCAGGTGGTCCTGTCGGCGAGCCAGTGGTCGATGCAGCTGACGTGGAACCGATGCGCGCAGGGCAAAGTGCGAACCAAATCCCTTTCGATAAAGTCACTCAAGCAAACCGTGCACTCCTTCGCGACCAACGCTCCGGCGGGCCCCCGTTTTAAGCACTGCGACTCGTGGCACTCGCCAGCAAAGTCATGCGCAGCATCTCGCGCATCGTGCGGCGCATTTCGCGCGTGCGACACTCCATCCAGCAGCGAAAGTTCAGAGCCGCCCATCGCCACTCTATCGATGTAATTTTCAGCGAATTTTGGGGTAGATTCGTTCTTCCGCGCGGCAGATGATGGTCGCCGATTCGTACACGGGCAGGTTCGTTCTGCAACGACGCCCCGAAGCTTTTCGGCACCATCGGAGTGGTCGGCTGGTGGGAGGCGGCTTGCAGCGGGAGCAGCGCGATACGGTCTGACGGGGAACGACGCGAGCTGCGCCGGGTGCAGCCCCGAGGAGGTTGGGACCGGCACTGATATAATCACATCGGGTAGAGTGTCGTCTAACTCAGCAGACGAGCCGCGATCCGCGTAGCTTCCAGCGGCGCGACGGGGTCTGGTCCACTTGAGAAACGGCATCGCGGCGCGATATAAGTGGCCGAAACTTAATCAAAGCGCACGAAAACAAGTGCTTGCTGCAGGTCGTTTGTAGTTAGTGCGGCGCCGCCGAATGCTACTAGCACTAGTAGTGCTGGTACGAGCAGCATCACGGTGTTTGGTGAGTCGTGATGCTTGACAAGTAACTAGTAAGAGCGGTTGAGTCAGTGGGAAGGAGGGTAAGAGTATGGCTTGATTAAACATTGAGATTCTGAGACGTGCCTTGTACTACAGCCGTTGCAGCTGGAAGAGTGAAGAGGTCTGCGCGTTGGGAAAGCAGTGAATCGAGAGGAAAGAGTGTCCTGATCGCATGAGAGTAATGCTCGTGTCGCCAATCGCACGGCAGGTCAGATTGTCGCCATAAAGAGCCTCTAATTCGTTCTTGGGATTCCATCGTGTGGGATGTGGATGAAAAAACACCTCGGTTTGAGGGGTTTTTTCGGCCAACTTCATTGATACTCAAATTATGCCAGAAGCGGTTTGCAAACGTAATCAACCAACAATTTTGCACTATAGTAACTACAAATACTGCTGTTATTAATTATAAGCGCAATCCTGAAACAATGTCGCCACCTGCAGCTCCGCACATACCCCAAAAAAATAAGCATACTAAAACGCTTGGATAACCAGGACAGAATTTGGAAATATTAACCCTAAATTCGGGAAGTTGTCACGTGCTTATCATTATCTGCTCGGACAAACAACACCGCCCAACGGAACCTGCTACCCGCGAGCAATTAAAAATAACCCTCATGCTAACAGGCATCCAGTCAGAATGGCATTAACCCTAAATACATTGTCGCATGATGTTTAGAATCAATGCCATCCGAGGGGTTTTTTTTTTTCTGTACAAGGTAAGTATGTTCGCGGTCAATGGAGGGTTAATGGTGCCATCAACCCTAATCCGTTGAGTTATTCCCAGTCTGCATCCTTTTTCCCAATGGGTTTTTTTGTTAATATTTACGCAATTCGCGCTTGATACAAATTTTAGTGGTCTGAGTGTGAAAATGAAACGAGGAAGGATTGAACTGAGCAGCATGAGAAGTACAAGTACCAAACCCTAAAGTGTTGTACCCCATATGAGCTACCCCACTACAGCCTACACAGACTATAGTGTATGAGTTTGACACACCCCCATAGGCAAAGTGTGGGAGAGCAAGGGGTCACAAGACCAGTCAAGCAAAGCAAGGCAAAGCAAGCTCAGGGTGGATCACAACGTCACCACACATTCTGAGCACAAGTTCAAGGCCACAAGGCCAGTTCACATGCAAGATTACATATATATAAGGCTAAACAAGCAAGAGCAGGTATATATATATGTAACAGTACAAACAAGGTCAAGAAGTGAGCAAGTGAGGCAAGGTAGGCACAAGGCCCAGCTGAGTACAGAAGCGCTGATGATCACAAGGCGCGAGTGCCTTGGTGAAGATATCAGCAGTGTTGGCCTGAGAGGCCACGTACGCAAGTCGCAGCTGACCACGCTGCTGTAGCTCACGAGCTAAGAAGTAGCGAAGAGCAATGTGCTTCGTTCTGTGCTCCAGTCTCTGCTCCCGACACAAGGCCAGCATGGCCTTGTTGTCTACGTACAGCACTGGAGGAGAACGAGGCGGCTCTCCGAGGTCAGTCAGCAGGTAGGTGAGCCAGCGAAGCTCCTGTGCAGCCATGGCCCCTGCGTAGATCTCAGCCTCACAACTGGAGCCGAGAACAGAAGACGAGCGGGTAGCCCGCCACGAAACAGAGCCGGAACCAAGGCTGAAGGTGTAACCCTGTGACGACCGCTGCGTAGCCTGGTCGTGAGCCCAAGAAGCGTCTGCGTGCCCAGTGAGGACCACTGGACTCTGCCCTCCAAGCACAAGCCCCATGCCCGACGTACTGCACAAGTAGCGCAACACCCTCTTCGCTGCAGCCATGTGCTCCGGTCTGTGTCTCCCAGGAGCAACATAGCGTGCGAGAATGCTAAGAGGGTATGCAAGGTCAGGTCGTGTGCAGGTCATCAGGTACATGAGGCAGCCAACAAGCTATGGGTACGGGCCACTCGACTCTACGGACTCATCCGAAGGCAGAGCTGAGAGCGAGTGGCGAGTAGGCAGAGGAGTGGCCTGAGGCGAGGAGTACGTGAAGCCGAAGCGCTGAAGGACCTGCTGCACCATGTGTGACTGAGTCAGGGTAATGGTGCGCTGTGCTCTGTCCCGGGTGATCTGCAAGCCAAGGTAGCTGCGCAGTTCACCCAGGTCTGTGCACGTGTGTCTCTTCTGCAGCTCGGACTTCACGTGGGCGAGTCCAGCAGTGTCAGCTGTGGCAAAGACCAAGTCGTCGACGTACACGAGGATGTAGAACGGCGGCAAAGAAGTGTCGGTGCGCAGAAACAGCGACGGGTCGGCAGTAGAGGGAGCAAACCCAAGAGCCGCAAGTGTAGTCCTCAGTGTGTCGTGCCACTCACGCGGTGCCTGGCGGAGACCGTAGACTGGCCGCCGGAGGCTCCACTGGGTGCCAGGAGGAAAAGTCCCAGTGAAGCCAAGTGGGCGGCGCAGCCAGATCTCCTCGTGCAGGCTGCCCTGCAAGAAAGCAGTGCTGAAGTCAAGAGAGTGCAGCTCGTAGTCACGGTGAGCAGCTATGTGCAGCAGTACCCGAAGAGTGGTCATCTTCGGGGTGGGAGAGAAGGTATGAAAGTAGTCAACTCCCTGCCGCTGACTGAAGCCACGAGCCACGTAACGCGCCTTGAAGACAGGCGGAGAACCCGGCGGCCGCTTCACCCTGAAAATCCACATGCCACTGACGATGTTCGCCCCAGGCGGGGGAACCTCGTCAACGTAGGTGCCTGTGGACTTCCAGGAAGCCATCTCTGCGTCCATAGCTGCCTGCCACTGAGAGGAAACTGGGAGGAGTGAGGGGCAGCACGCTGCCGCCCCTCGACACAGGGGACGCAGGTAGGGGCAGGCCCCGGAGGAAGGGGAGGGAGGGACCGGGGAAGACCAGAGACAAGGACACGAGAGGCCATGCCTCGGAGACGAGGCAGGGAGGGGTGACCAAGGCGGTGGTGCCAGAGGAGAGTCTCGTGAGACAGGAGGCGATACGAGCAGGGGGCAGACTCAGGACCAGACCTGGACGCTGCAGCAAACACCTGACCCGACGCAGCTGCCTGACCAGACGCAGTGACTGGAGGAGACTCAGTGGTCAGTGTGTACAGGCTCGACCCCGGCCGACGTGTAAACGTGGCCAAGTGTCGGCCCGTCCGAGCGTCCGTGCAGTGGGTCACTCGCTGGCTCGCAGGAGTGAACTGGTGAACCCCCGCATCCTGTAGGTCAGCACCACTCACCAAGTTCGTAGAGAACGAGGGGAGGTAAAGACCAGACAGGGTGCCAGAGGGGGCCGCCGGACACGGGAGGGCAGTGGAGAAGTGTGCAAGGACAGGACCCCCAGAGGGGTCTGCCAGAGAGACTGCAACAGGCCGACTGAGCGGCGTGAGTGTGGTGCGGTCTCGAAAGAAGGAGCGGGAAGCCCCTGAGTCAAGGGTAAAGGTGTGGGAGGCCGTAGCCGACGCAGTACCTGAGAGAGCAGACTCACCAGCACCTGAGGAAGCAGACTCACTGGCACCTAGAGCAGCAGCCTCACCAGTACCTAGAGCAGCAGCCTCACCAGTACCTAGAGCAGCAGTACCAATGCCCGGGTCGGGCGGAAAACACCGGTAACAGTCACCCTCATCACTAATAGTCACAGCATACTCGCGCGTCACCCGTTTCTGCCCTGCGCCCCACCCGTTTTTTGCCGTGCGTCACTCGTTTTCTGCCCCGCGCCCCACTCGTTTTACCCCGCGCGTTTCCCCCCAGCCCTCTAGCGCGCAGCAGACGAACGTGCGTAGCTGCGCGCGCAGCCTTAGTCGCACCCGCAGCTTCGCGCTAGTACGTCGCGGCCACGCGCACCTGCAACCCACCATCTTAACCGCCCCCCAGACCTGAAAACCCGCCATTACAGACCTGAAATCCACCGCCGAACCTGGAAACCCGCCGCCCCAGACCTGAAAACCGCCGCCCCAGACCTGACAACCGCCGCCCCACTTGGAAACCTGCTGCCCCACCCGTTCTAGGCACCTCACCCGGAATCAGCCGCCCCACACAGTCCTCTCCACCGCATTGAACCTCACAGAACCGCACAGAACTGCACATAACCGCACAGAACCGCACAGAACCGCCGCCTCACCCGTAGCCCGCTGCCTTAACAGCTTCCCCACCTGAAACCTGCCTCCCCACGAGCTGCCACACCCGCCACCAGTAGCCCCAGCCGATCACACTGCCGCCAGCAACACCAGCAGCAGCATAGGCTGCCCCCAGCGCACCAGCAGCAGCGTAGGCTGCCCCCAGCAGAACCAGAAGCTGCATAGGCTGCCGCCAGCGCACTAGCAGCAGAATAGGCTGCCCCCAGCGCACCAGCAGCAGCGTAGGCTGCCCCCAGCAGAACCAGAAGCAGCATAGGCGGCCACCAGCGCACCAGCAGCAGCATTGGCTGCCCCCAGCAAAACCAGTAGCAGCTAAGGCTGCCCCCAGCAGAGCCAGAAGCAGCATTGGCTGCCCCCAGCGAACCAGCAGCAGCATAGGCTGCCCCCAGCGCACTAGCAGCAGCTTAGGCAACTGCCAGCG